TCTTTCTATTTCTCTCACTCTCCCTCTCCATTGAAGATCAGCAGGCATCGATCTCTCAGTGATTGAGTCTTTCAAACCACGTGTAAATACATTTAATTAGTTAAGGTATTTACTTTACAAGTGTGGTTATGCCCAAAGCATGTCACTTGTGTGTCCTTGTATCATTTTGGAAAGTTAGTTGACGCAAAGTTCATACAATTTCTCAGTGCATGAAGGATTTATTGCAATAGTTATAACAACTCTGCCTGTGACATTGCACAGATAAAATACATAGGATGAGAATAATGAAAGAGTTATGAAGACACAGAGATGACTGTTGGGTTAGTGAGAAGCCATAATGTCCTCCTGCTGTACCTTGAAGTAGGGGAAGTGTTCAGTCATGAACTTGTAGATCTCACTAACCGGGAGACTCCCTGTCTTACTGTTCCTCAGAGCCATGAAGATCAGGATGCTACGGATAGAAGACAAACATTGTAGTCAATGTAGTCAATCAGTTGTAGTCAATATTATATTATTATTGTATATTATATTATATTATTTAACATCACAGTGTTGTTTATTCATTACATGTACAGTACACTCTTAGAAAAAAGGGTTCCAAAAGGGTTAATCGACTGTCCCCATAGTAAAACCCTTTTTTTCCCAGGTAGAGCCCGTTTGGGTTCCATGTAGAACCGTCTGTAGAAAGGTTTCTACCTGGAACCAAAAAGGGTTATTCAAAGAGTTCTCCTATGGGGACAGCCAAAGAACTCTTTGAGGTTCTGGATAGCACCTTTTTTTCTAAGAGTGTACATCATTCGTGACAAGGATCCATGATCACATCCACAAAACACTAAAAGGAAACAAGGACATTCAAGTTGTCATTATCATACTAATTCAGTCTCTGAGGAAAAAGTCAGAAAATAAGTATGGTAGATAGAATTGACATTATCGTAATTAAAAGCACAAATTGTCTTTGTAGTGGGTTTGAATAAGAGGCTGTGCTATACATGCAGAACCAGTGTAGATCTAGGGCATGGTCTATCTCTCTCTCACACACACACACACACACACACACACACACATACACACACCTCACCCACCTCACACCTCACCCACCTCACACATCTCATCCCACCTCACACCTCACCCACCTCACACACCTCACCCACCTCACACACCTCACCCACCTCACACCTCACCCACCTCACACATCTCATTCACCTCACACCTCACCCACCTCACACATCTCATTCACCTCACACCTCACCCACCTCACACATCTCATTCACCTCACACCTCACCCACCTCACACATCTCATTCACCTCACACCTCACCCACCTCACACATCTCATTCACCTCACACCTCACCCACCTCACACACCCCATCCACCTCACACCTCACCCACCTCACACACCCCATCCACCTCACACCTCATCCACCTCACACCTCACCACCTCACACCTCACCCACCTCACACCTCATCCACCTCACACCTCACCCACCTCACCCCCCCCCCCCCCACCTCACACCTCACCCACCTCACACACCCCATCCACCTCACATCTCATCCACCTCAAACCCCATCCACCTCACACCTGCAAGCCTGAGGGATAAAGGTGATAAAAGACTCCATGAACATCTTCTTATTATTATGTAATGTTGATACTTGATAGGAGTTTAGGTAAAATCATTATTGAAATATATATACCATCTGGTCCTCAGAAAACCAGAGTACAAAATGTGCAGAAACTAACTGAAATCATAGCTGAACACCGAATACTTGGGTTCCTTTTCAATCCAAACTGGTAAACTGGTTTTAGGGGTTGTTAAAGAACTGACATGCTTACAGTTCAACTTCTTTTTGCTTCACCTTGTAAACATTATTTCAAACATGCAGAGAAAGAAGAGTGATGAAGAGTGAGAAATGGGTTTGATTAAATAAGGTCTTGATTTAATAAGGTTTTTAATATATCATTAATGTTACACCAAAGTCCAAAACCTGATTGTACGGATTGGTAATACTGTAGATTGTGATTATGCACATGTATGGAGTATCGAAGTACGGTGTTCACCTGTATGAGTAGATGGGCTTGGGGAAGAGGGACTGCATGCTACTGTCCTGATGGGTTGGAGTGGCGAGGCACTGGAGAGAGTACTGAGAACTTTTGGATTGTCCACTGGTAGAATACACACCTGGTGAGAACTAGAGAGAACACACACACACGGACACACGCCCGCGTGCATGCATACATACACACACATTGTCACAGCAGAACTTGTATTACTTTAGCAACAGAGTGTGTACACAGTGAGGTTTTTCCAAACCGCACAGCTGTATTCTGCAAAGCCTATACTGTACACAAGTTCACGGTATGATATAACCAAGCCCTGTTGGCAAAGTGTTATTTTCCTTGGCAAGGTATTTGACAAGTTATTTGGCAGAATGGCACTAACCCTTGGAAATATATGAGGTACCGTAGGTGGTTTCTATCTCAACCAACCTATACAGCACCAAAATTCCACCCAAACCAACAGAGGTTGCCAGTTTGTAGTCCTAAAAAACAGAAATGAGTTTTGTTCATTGAGAGAATATTAGTCAGTTAACATGACATTTATGAATTATGAAGCCTTTAAGTGGTTTGTGTGCTTGTTTTGATTACATAAATGCTTCAAAATTCAAAAATGTTTACGTTAGCGGAGGAAGATTATCTCATAGAACAAAACATATATTGTAAGATCTCCGAAAACCGTGTTTACCATTTTACATTTTAGTCATTTAGCAGACGCTCTTATCCAGAGCGACTTACAGTTAGTGAGTGCATACATTTTTATTTATTTTTTCATACTGGCCCCCCATGGGAAGCGAACCCACAACAACAAACGCCATGCTCTACCAACTGAGCTACATCCCTGCCGGCCATTCCCTCCCCTACCCTGGACGACGCTGGGCCAATTGTGCGCCGCCCCATGGGTCTCCCGGTCGCGACCGGCTACGACAGAGCCTGGATTCGAACCAGGATCTCTAGTTGCACAGCCTTAGACCACTGCGCCACTCTGCATTATTTTCAGCATTTATCCAAAAACCCTACAAAACCCCCATTAATTTGGTCATGGCTGAGTTAGCCTCCGTTAGTGCCTACAAAAAGACACCATTACTATTGCGCTCTATAGCTTACCAAAACCACCCTATTGAGATAAGCTCAGAACCTCCCCCCCTTAAGTTAACCCCTCCCCCTGTACTTTGGTCCTGCCCACTCACCTGCTGCAGTGGGGCTAGGGGGCTGTAGGAGGCATGGCCTTGGGACAGGAAGCAGGAAGGTTCCTCGGGTGCAGCCAGTGGTTCTGGGTAAGAGTGCTGGGAGCCCTGCTGTGTTGAATGAAGGGAATTAATGAAGATAAACCCATTATACAAGTAATGATATCTGAGGAAACTCATTGGCAGCACTAGTATCATTGTGATGTGTGTGTGTGTGGGGGGGGGGTAGGAGCTGTAGGTGTGTATGAGAGATCTGTCTATGGGGAACTGCTTACGTGTGGCGCTCTCCCCGATGGCCATGTACACCTGGGAATGGTACAGTTCAGCTGTTGGTGTGTACTATGAATGAATAGCCATTTAGAGTATGAGTATCACTGTAGCATACCATCAGTCTGGAAGCCTGGAAACTCCCGTTGTATGGATCCCAGCATGTCTGTTCCTCACTGGTAGATGTGTGTGTGGCAGTGAAGCTATCTGGAGCCTCCACCTCTCTGAGACAGACGAAGGGACGAGACCCAGGGGGAACAGGGGCCAGGCAATCCGTGGCAACCCCACCATCGCTGAACTGACGTCGGTAGGGGTGGAAGCGGTCAGCCGACCCTGACCCTAAGTTTGACCTTTGACTCTGTGTTACCATGGCTCCATCAATGCTGTGCCTCCTGCAGGTCTCTGCAGCGGCATTTCTCTGTCTGTAGGTGGCGCTTTCTCTCTCGCTCTGGGCAGTGGTGAATGACACAGAACTGCTCTCCTCACACTGAGGGGAGATTAATATACAATATGTTAGCTGGTTATTTAGCAACATCCAGAATCTCCTGGCTAGAATCTGTAATCATGAAACAATGCAAGTGGAAATAGCCAAGAATCAACTACATTTATCTCCTGGCATTGTCTGTGTTCCAAATCATATTAGGGAATAGGGCGCTATTTGGGACGCAAACATTATTTCTGTTTAAACACATCATGTCTGTTTGGGGGGGTATTTAGATCTCCAGATAGATAGAGATCTCCAGTATTTACTGGTACGTTACTGCCCCAGGGGTGGGTAATTAATTAGTCCAAAATAAGAGAAACGTGATTGTCAGGATAAAACTTAACACATTTCCTCCAGGGCATCTTGTCCTTGAAAAGGTCCTGTGTGTGCGATAGGTAGATAGTTTACATCCTTTTAGATTCACTCATAAACATTCTCTGTTGCAAGCAGATCTGGGTTCAAATAGTATTCATTTTCTTTCAAAGACTTTATCTGGCACAATGGAACCAATGAAAATGACCAATGAAAAGCAACCAATGGAACCAAAAAAAAAGTTACATTTTTCTAAACCTGTCCATCTACCACTCGAGGCAGGCTGAAGCAAACGCTCAAAGTATCTGAAAGATAACAAATACTACTTGAACCGAGGTCTGGTTAATCAAACAGCTATGGGCTCATTCACTAAGATCACAGTGTGGATTCTGGAATGACCTCTGGAGGAACAGTAGCCCAATGCAGGTGCAGAAAAGGAGATGAGATGGGTAAAGCATGCATGGCTTTGGCCTGAATCAAAATGGAGGGAGTGTTTCCATCTGGAGTCTTTCTGGGTGAAAGTGGGTGAAACTGTAAAATAAACAGTTTTCAGTGGATTCTGGTACCTGTGAGTGCGCCATCTGCTGGAGGGAGGATCCTGGAGGCTCACAGGTGCGTAGGGAGGAGGCCTGAAGGGCTGGTGTCGTTGTCAAGGACCTGTTGGCACTGGGAGTAAACGTGGAGCTGGGAGAGTCTGTAGACATGATGGTGTGCTTAGAAGGAAGTCTGCACCTGGGAAGAATAGAAACATGCGAGCGGGTGTTAAGAAGTGTGGCTTGGCGGGTCATGTTTTGGAGGACGCATGACTCGACCTTCACCTCTCCCGAAGTTGCAGCGATGAGACAAGATCGTAATTGGATCGCAATGAGAAAAAAATAAAAGTTTGAGTTTGGGGTGTGGTATACACTGAGTGTACAAAACATTAGGAACACCTTCCTAATATTGAGTTGCACCCCCTCAGAAAAGCCTCAATTCATCGGGGTATGGACTCTACGAGGTGTTGAAAGCACTCCACAGGGATGCTGGCCCATGTTGACTCCAATGCTTCCCATAGTTGTGTTAAGTTGGCTGGATGTCCTTTTGGGTGGTGGACCATTCTTGATACACAAAGGAAACTGTTGAGCATAAAAAACCCAGCAGCGTTGCAGTTCTTAACACACTCAAACCAGTGCGCCTGGCACCTACTACCATACCCCGTTCAAAGGAACTTAAATATTTTGTCTTGCCCATTCCCCCTCTGAATGGCATACATGCACAATCCATGTCTCAATTGTTTCAAGGCTTAGAAATCCTTCTTGAACCTGTCTCCTCCCCTTCATCTACACTGATTGAAGTGGATTTAAAAGGTGACATCAATAAGGGATCATAGCTTTCACCTGGATTTACCTGGTCATGGAAAGAGCATTCCTAATGTCTATGTTTTGTACACTCAGTGTAGTTCAACATGTGTGTTATGAGTCACAATCTCATTCCTTGTGTTTTTTCTCCATGTGATTTGGAATGTGTCGTGCCTTGCTTTCACAGATCCATGACATGGACTGTATGCACAGTGGCTTGTATGATTCATCTGTGTGTGGTTGATGCTTGCCAGTGTCATCCGTGCGTTACATGATATCGTTATTGTATCCTTCATAGTCTGGGTCATTCATAGTATGATTGTACCTTTCAGGTAGGCTACAGCATTTAACCCCAGTGTAAAATCTCAGTGGTCTTCTGGGCATCTCTGAGTTATCATTGTTTACAGACCAGGGGCGATACAGTATGTGATCTTTTAGTGTACAGGAATGGGTACTGTAGGTTCGATGGAACAGTTTCCCGGACACAGATTAAGCCTAATCTTGGACTAAGAAGCACTTTAAATGGAGAAACATTTGGTCAAGGAATAGGTTTAAAGGGATACTGCGAGATTCTGGCAATTAAGCCGTTTTTATAATAATAATATGCCATTTAGCAGACGCTTTTATCCAAAGCGACTTACAGTCATGCGTGCATACATTTTTTTGTGTATGGCTGGTCCCGGGGTTCGAACCCACTACCTTGGCGTTACAAGCGCCGTGCTCTACCAGCTGAGCTACTTAGGTAGTTAGCATTGGCTCACGAAACTACGTCTCACTTCCTTCATACTGCACACAGAGACATAATAATGGTAATCGCCAGAGTGCCAGAATCTCACAGTATCCTTTTAAACTGTGTCCAGGAAACTGGCCCCATGTTCACCAAACAGTTCCTCAGTAATTTGCAATGGTGAGGGATAATGTAAGTTGCCTCTATAGAAGGGGGCAAGGTGCTTTTCCATCTTCATCAGTTTACAGTTCTGTTATCAGATCCCAGCAGAGGTGTGAGACACGTGGCAGAGGTTCCAGGAAGGGCAACCTCATACACACACACTTATACACACAAACGCACGCACAGACGCACGCACACACACACACACTCCTCAAAGCTCATTAAAATGGGCAACAAACCGTGAAGATTAGATCACTCAAAACCAGCTATTGCTGAGGTGGGTTGAAGGGTGTGTGTGTGTGTGTGTGTGTGTGTGTGTGTGTGTGTGTGTGTGTGTGTGTGTGTGTGTGTGTGTGTGTGTGTGTGTGTGTGTGTGTGTGTGTGTGTCAAAAAGGTCAAATAGGGGGTGCTTATATTTGTCCTGTTTACCTGCATGTGGGGAACCTGTAAGTGTGAAATTGAAATGTGTTTTTTGTATATCCCAACTCCCCCTGAGACACCCTCGGAGAGTGGGGTCATGGCCAGGGATCAGCCATTATTGACGGCGACCCAATTTAGAGAGAGCGAGAGAGAGAGAGAGAGAGAGATATTCCATACAGGAGTAAAAAGGAAGTGAAATGTCAGAGTTGAGACAGCCTTTGTTCTGTTCCAGCAACAGAGCCTTTGACCTGCTTGACACAAACCTCTGATTGGCCGTTTGGAGTTGCGCTGACGAGGAAGAATGGCTGACCAAGAGAAAAAAAACACTGTGCTGTCATTTCTTTGGCCATAGATGGTTAACTGGAATCTTGGTGGAGCGGGATCTGTGGGAGGTTGAGGACCATAGTGTGACATCCCTGTTTATATGTGCACTGTGACCTCTGACAAAAGGGCTGGACCTTCAACGACCCATTAAAAATCAGATATCAAAATGTCCACAGTTTGTCCTGGGGATATTCCCACAATTTACGAGCCAAAATTAATGAATGAATGGTTCCCATCTGATTTAAAGAAAAAAGGATATATGTGAATCATTTGATACAGTGGTGTTGGTTTTCCTCTTAGTGTCCAATTCCTCTTTAAAGCTATTCTAAAGCTGAATGGTGCACTGGTTTCTGGCAGACCTGGGTTCAAATGGTATTTGACATAATTACGAATACTTTATCTGTGCTTGATTGAGCATGCCTGGCTTAATGGACCAATAGAATAGTCCCCAAACTGTAAAACCCACCCATCTGGTACTGCAGGCAAGCTAGAGCAAACGCTCAAAGTATTTTCCGATTTCAAATAGTATTTGAACCCAGGTGTACTTGTTTCTGATCATGTTTCAGCTGTCCCAGTCCTGAGATGTTGCCATAACTAACCCTCACCTTTACACCATTTGACTGGCAGTTCTAATGGACCAAGAACGTCTACCTTTTCACTTTCATCCATCATGTAATTAGGAAGTACTTCTTTTAATCTCCTTCTTTTCTTCTCCTTTGCTCTGTCGGTTCCTGTGTTGTGTTGTTATAACTAAAGCACAGAGGGCCAGCAGTGAGATGAGGGGAGAAAACGAATATTATCTCAAAGAACAAATACAGGGGACTTAACCCTCGTTCACTTTACTTACAGTTTTGTGACCTGTTGACATTCCAATTCATCCATCACAGACGTTATAAGCTTCTGTGCATTATCTCTATGCTCCTATATGTCATGTCACAGACAGTAAGACAGGGGTGGGCAACTTCTGACTCAGCGCTAACACAACTGTTTCAACTAATACATGTTTAAATTGAAGATCGTGATTAGTTGATGTGTTGAATCAGGTGTGTTAGAGCTGGGCTGGAACAAAAGCCTGCAAATACTTTGGCTACTGTTTCCTGCCCCTTAACTATATGCTTTTCTTGAGGAATTTAGATATACAGTACATACAGTATATACTGTATGTAGGGTGCTCCTCCAACCTGTTTACCATGAATTAGTCATTTTGGGTGAAGTTTTTCCTGGGTAAGCCCTATCACTGGATTAGTGTATTATTGAAACATACCATTGGGTAGGACCATGAAACCGGGCAAAAACATAATCCCATAGGCTCTGCTCTCAGTACAGGCTCTCATGCCTGCATGTGAAAGTGCTGGCTGGGCTGATGTCAACAATGTGATACAGTAATATTTGCAAATCACAGCGCTCCTGTTATTTCTTTGTTTGACTACTATTTAGTCAAACAAACACTGGTAGTGTTCCAAAATGCATACTTGTGTTCTATCTAGAGCATATAGCGAGTACGGAAGTCAACTGTATTTTTTCAAGTGCGGTTCCAAACATAAGAACGTGAAAAGACAAGTATGTATTAAGTCTACCTGAATTTCTATAAGCGTACTTGGGAGGTCTGGAAAACAAAGTACGCATGGGAGCATACTTTTCCTTCCCTTCGCCGGGGAGGCTATCCCATAACACCTTGCAACACAGCAAAATTCCCCAAACTTCTGAATTAATGGCGGACTGAAGTCCCCGCTTGGGAGAAAATGTTCCAGTTCAATCTAGTCTTGCTAGCCAGCCAAGTTATTTGTGCATTCTTACATGATCAGTCAATACATGCATGTAGTGTCTGTTTACCTAACGTTAGCTAGCTAGCAAACTTTCTTCTCGTCACTTTCCCTTCCCCTCGTGTTTCACCATTGCATATAAATAAAATGTTTTGAATAATGAAATGATCAATTAAAAGTAAATCGGTAACAACTTGATCAAGCCTATGAATATGTCAAACTGTTTACAAAACAATTGCACATTAACAAAGGTAGTTGTGGTTCTCAACAACTTGAACCAGCACTGAAATTTGAGCAGTGAGGTTCATTTCTCCTCCCTTGGCCTTATGTTTCTGCTCTGTTCTCCTCAGGTTGAAGCACATCCCACCCCATCACCCAGACAAATGGAAAGAACTTGGGAACCTCCCGTCCACCAGGAAAATCACCCTATCCTAGGAGTTTGTCAGGAGTTTATTCAGCAGTGTGCAACATCACAATGATAGAAGTAGATCCACATGTTATTCTCTATCATGCAGAATTGTCAGCTCATTGTAACATATGACGGTCATTCTAAAATACAGATATGGGTGAATTCTGCCCCAGGGTACTGTCCTGTGTGCAAGGTTTTATTCCTGCCCAGCAAACACCATGTTCAACTATTCATCATCTACTATTTAGACCACAATAAGTTGAATGAGGTGTTAGTGAAAGGCTGGAACAAAAGACTGTAAACTCCTGTCCTTGTCAGAGTGTTGAGTGTGGATGTAGTGCAGGAATCAAGCGCAGGGACAAGGAGGTTCTTCAACGGACTTTAGTATATATATGTATCCCAACACGGGAAATGAGTCGCCAACCCAACCGGGCGGCACGAACAATTACGCACAACACACAGTGCGGAAAAACAAGAAAAGGCGCACGCAGTGCGAACTCTCGAAAATACTAAATAAACGAGAGAGAGAACTACTCGGAGGCAAACTGACAATAACAATCACGCATAACACCTGCCCCAAACAAACCAACTAAATAAGGAGAATAATCAAGACACAAATAAGGGACAGGTGTTATGCACAGACAAAACCAAAAGAACAAAAAACATCGAACGGTGGCAGCTAGTACTCCGGAGACGACGACCGCCGAAGTCCGCCCGAACAAGGAAGAGGAGCAGCCTCGACCGAAACCGTGACAGTCCTGTGTATAAAAAACCTGTGGCTGTCATGACAAAATTTGCCCTCATGAACACGTTTTTGAATGTTAATCTCTTTGATGTCCCTCACTTGAGGATGCTAAAAGGTTTATTCTACTGAGCTATTTACTTTGTGTTCGTATTCTTACCTTTTATTATTTCTTATTGTCACCGCTAAAAAAGTATCCATACAATTTCAGGCTCAAGATTAATGTTATGTAAGTGTTTCAAAATAAGAAGTCTGTTTATTCTCTGTAAACTACAGAAACCTTCAGTTCCCAGGCACCATGTCATTATGTCATGATGGAACCTGTCATGAATCTGTCGTAAAGATGTCATTATAACCTTTCCCCCCTTGGAGATTTATTGACAGCTGTCATGCTAACGGTTCTAACCTCTTAGGATTTCTCTAGATGATCCAATTGTCTCTGCACCTCCCCCTGACCTAGATTACCTTGACTCTAACTTTGTTATGCTATATAACCCTAGCCTTCATCACAGGCTTTCAACTCACCATCGGTAGCAGAGCCTGGGAGCGGACGCTAATATATCCCTAACCCTGACATGATAGATATATTTGCTTACAAGAGCTTATCCTTTATCATTTGGCTCTATAACACCTAATCCATATATTTGAAAGTCACAGATGCCTGGATTGACAGTAATGAGTTAAATCTGTTAAATATTTTTTAATGTGTTAGTTGTAGGAAGAATCTGTAGCTAAATTGACCATACAGTAGGGATAGTTACTCAGTCCATTGTGGCTGACACAGGGCCAGTGGGCAACTAAAACATGCTTAATGTCATTAGTCAGTGCCCTTTCAACCGCTAAACATCAGAGGGGCAGGTAAGAAGACAAGACTCATCTTTGTTCAACGACACAGCTTTTCTTTTGACACTAGTGTCACCCCAGCAAACACACAACCACCACACAAGGTCCCCTCCTTGTGGGCCTTAACATGCCGTACATGAGTTGTCAGTGTCATTTCACAGGCATGTCACGCTTAATAAAGAAACAATAGCTGGTTAGAAGCACAGACAGGTGTAATGCCATAGATTAGGCATACTTGCTCAAAAGTTTCCAACCTTTTCACATTCTTGACCATTTAGAGATGCTCAACTCACCCTCCTTGACTCGACAACAATCTTGTTCTGCCTTGTACAGTAGGCCACAGAATCTTCTTTGAATCTCGTAGTGTCAATCAATCATTCCAGTCAAGTCTGGTGAAGAAGAAGAAGAAGAAGAAGAAGAAGAAGAAGAAGAAGAAGAAGAAGAAGAAGAAGAAGAAGAAGAAGAAGAAGAAGAAGAAGAGAAGAAGAAGAAGAATTGATCAGATTCACGTAATCCACATGGCTTAGCCTATACACCTGGAACACTTTCCAGCAGAGCGATTCTTCTGTTGAAGAATACTACTGAAGCGATATTTACTAAGAAGAGTGTGGTAGTAGGAATCAGAGCTGAAAGGCTGCCTTCAGAGCATTAATCTCATGCTCATTCTCTCTCTTCTTTCACTGTCTCTCTCTTTTTCTCTCTTTCTCTTTCTGTTTGGCCCTCATCCAACCCAAGGCAGCCCAGCAGAGAGCTATGAGATACATAGAAGGAAACCTGTCACAACAAGTTCCAAAGGCCTAGCTACTGTACTGCTAAAGTCACCACTTTTTTGTGGTTCTCTCTGTGTAATTGCACCAATCATAAGAGCCTGTATAGCACATTAGTTAAATTAGCTAGTTTGGTCTATTGACACTAATTGCTGTTCTTTGATTGCATGAGGGCTCTCATTTGCTACGGCAATATATTATTATTTGATATAATTCTTTTGCAGATTTAACATTTTTGACAGTTTGATGCGCCTGCATCAAAAAATCATCACCTGCATAAAAGAGCATTAGCTAAGTAAATTAATGAAACGGCTGGATTAGACGTACCCAGGTGTGTCCAGTTGTGTCGCGGATGCGGTGCCAGGCGGTCAGGTGCTGAGCAGACGGCACAGGCTCAGAGAAGAAGTGCCAGGTGTGTCACACTGTGAGACTGGTCACATGCGAAGGTGGTTGCTGGTTTAGATAGACTGAGTGGTGCTGGGTAGAGGAGAGGTGTTGACCCGTTGATCCTCTCATTGACAGAAGACCTCTCAGTGAAAAAGGAAATGATGGACTGAACCGCTGAAGACCTCTTCCAAACTTTTATACTGACAGTTGGACCAAGACCAACACCTGAGCCTAGAGAGGGAGAGAGGGGGAGGAGGGGGGAGGGAGCTGGAGAGAGGGGGGAGAGGGAGAGAGGGAGAGAGAGAAAGTAAGAGAGAGGAGTGGAAGAAGTATGTCAATACAGGTAAATTCCTATCCTACCCTCCCTCCCTCTCTCACTCTCTCTCTCGCTCTCGCTCTCTCTCTCTCTCTCAGCTACCTTATTATTCAAACCATGTCCTCATCAGCAGGGAAAGGCTGAGGTGAATGATAGATAGACAGAGGGATAAGTTACTGATGAATAAACTCTTAGGTTACAGTGGGAGGTCTCAGCCAACCTCTCAACACAGTCAAGTAGCCGCAGGGGGCGCAGCCTGACAGAATCAGGGGTTTCTGAAGAGGTGTAATGTGGGAAAATGTTCTAAAGGGCACTTTATTGAAATGACACCAAACCCCACTACCGTTTGGGGAGAAAAAAAAATGTCCTGGAGCACTGAGGTGTCCTTGTTTGCTGTTGTTTTACTAGAATGGTCTCTTTCGGGCAATGGAAGGGGGGTGGAGTGAATTCAAGTCTTGAATCCTTCTCCGTTGGTAGCCACCTTGGCACATGCTCCAGACAGGCTCATCAAAACAAACTGATCATGAAAATCTCTGAAATGATTAATGTCGCAAAAATGTGTAACAAAATGTGCCTATATACCTATGTGTAACTGCTATGTTATTACATGGTTATAGAGTGTGAAACATACATTTCTGTGAAGTGAATTATACCCTGTGCCTTGTTACAATTGTATCAACCAGGTCCTAGACAACTAAGATCCTTAGATCAGGATTCAATCAACCCTGGGATTCCACTTGTGTTACATACCTAAAGTATGTTACATAGGTATAGGGGCTACTTAGGGTAAAGTGTTGCCAGTTAGTAAACTCTGAAATGATGTGTGTTTACATTTACCTGCCTGTGTAATTTCCATGTCATCACTACAATACATAGTTCATTTTAATCCCACACATTATTTTTCTCAATGTAGGGTCACTGCCAATGAATAAATCAAGCTATACCAACAAACACCACTTGAACATCATTAGAGAAAGGAAAACATAAGATGGTTGTCCCCACACGAGATAAAGGACAACAGACTGGTTTACTTGACCTAAACCTCAGTTGTGTTGCTTGGCTACTGCCTCTGCAACAGAGATTGGTTGGAATAAGTGGGCTATGTCATCAGAATGACTCATCCTTTATCTAGAACTCTTATATGTAATCAGTTCAGCAAATCAGAACAGAGCAGTTTGGTTGAGGCTCTGCATAGATCATTTTAATAATTACCTATAAAGATCACTTTAGCACTTTATTGGTAAATTGCACACAAGGTCCAACCAAAATGTGACTTCCGCTTTTAACCCAAACCCTCCGAAAGACACACATACATATCTATCTCTCTTTGGTGAATGAGAACTTTCAATCAATCACCGACTCTGTTGCCGTGAGTTTTAATTGTGGTTATTTGGCTCAGGTGCTGACAGGGGTGCTCCCTGGACACACCTGACAACAGCTGCCCTGGAAATAATATAGAGCTGCCAATCAGAGCTCTGCTCTCACTTGGCTGGTAACCTAGGTAAGACATGCTAGGTGAAGATGCCACACACAGCGAGATCAGGCCAGGCAGGGTAGCTTGACTACAGACAATCCTGATGCCAGGGAGCTGGCAGAGAGCTGGAAGCTAAAGTTGTGTAAACTGCCAATTCTATTATAACAAAGTGATGTTTATAACACATGTAAAACATAGTGTTTCTTATAGAACAAGACTGTGGGTACTGTATGTGGGTAGCTTGATGATATTTGATGCCAATATGAGAGGCAGCTGAGAGAGGTAACATGTTGATGACCTGGTTTACTCAGAAAGAGAAGAAAAATCATATTCCAGATTCCAGTTATTGTGTCCTTAAATAATATGATTTATGACTTTTAAAACTCTGGAGAGAACATTCCCAGCCCCCAGGGCAACCTAAATAGATTTATAACTTAGTGATTCCACTCTTGGCTCATGGTAAAGGAATATAAATTACATATTTATTTACCCTCCCAGTGATTCAATGGGAAAATCCCAAATGGCACCATATGTGCTTTTGACCTGGGCCCTATCAAAACTAGTGCACAATGTAGGAAATGGGGCGCCATTTGGGACACACCCTATATGCAATTAAATAGCAGCTGTCTACCCAGCAGACATATTAGAACAATATTATGCAGGTTTCTTATTTTAGCTCTCTCTTTGAAAAGAAAAAACACAACTTAAAAATATAACGTGTACCTTATCTTAAACAGAGTGTGGTAGCCTACAGAAAATGTGTGAATGACCTATATGCTCCTCACAGAGTAAAGGGGTTTAAAAGTCAAGTAAGGCCATTTCTGAAGCGTGCACCACCAGAAATAGGCTAAACGTCATCAATAATCATCATCAATCCACAATCAATGACTAATTTCATACGCTCTTTCCAGTAACACCTGCACTGTCTGAGATGACAGGGAGAAAATATATTGCATCTATTGCAAACATAGTGGAGGATCAATATATGGCTAGGTAAACACCACTCAGTAGGGGGGTGTCACACCCTGATCTGTTTCACCTGTCTTGTGATTGTCTCCAACCCCCACCAGGTGTCTCCCATTACCTCATGTGTATTTATACCTGCGTTTTCTGTTTGTCTGTTGCCAGTTCGTCTTGTCCCGTCAAGTCCTACCAGCATGTTCCCGTGTTTCCTGTGCTCTAGTTTTTGATTTTTCTAGTCTTCCCAGTTCTGACCTTTCTGCCTGTCCTGACCCTGATCCTGCCTGCCGTCCTGTACCTGCCTGACTCTGATTTGGATTACGACTCTTTGCCTGCCTTGACCTATCGATTGCCTGCCCCTTGTTCTGTAATAAACTCTGAGACTCGTACCATCCGCCTCCTGTGTCTGCATCTGTGTCTCAGCCTGAGCCGTGACAGGGGTGTGGTGGACCTAAAACTAAAATTCATCTTTCGTTCATTCATTTATGAATAAATAAATAAATCAAATGTATACAGCCCTTTTCACATCAGCAGTTGTCACAAAGTCCTTTTCAAGTAATCCATCCTACTAGTGGCCCGACTGACAAAATAAGTATAGAAATATACCCAAAGTGCCCCTCTTTGGAAACAGAGAAGGAGATCCATTGAGAGAGAAAGAGAGAAAGAGAGAAAGGGAGAAAGAGAGAGCGCGAGAGAGCGAGAGAGCGAGAGAGCGAGAGAGCGAGAGAGCGAGAGCGAGAGCGAGAGAGCGAGAGAGCGAGAGAGAGAGAGAGAGAGAGAGAGAGAGAGAGAGAGAGAGAGAGAGAGATCTGCTGAAAGGGTCTGAAAGGCGATGATGATGACTCACCCGTTATAGGAACTGTGGTAGTTAGTCGTCCGTCACTCTCCTCTATTCTCCGCAAGACAGAGTTGCTGTAAGGAACCACCCGAATATGCATGGGACCACCCTACCACCCAATTATGCATGGGACCACCCTACCACCCAATTATGCATGGGACCACTGAGTGTTTCTCTTGTTTGTTTGCCTCTGAGTGACACTACCATGCAATGATCACGGTAGAATGGTACCCAGATTATAACCGAAATGTTTTTACATCTCATTTTATTACCGGCCGCCCTGATGACCCTAGGTCATGGAAAGGTCATCCAAAGATCATCCTATCCTACCGTCCAATTAACATGGCCCCCTGCCAGTGGTTCCTTGAATTCATTCTATAAATTTGAATGTTATTTTATTCATTTCCTTCTTTACCCTCAATTATTATTTTGTACTGTATTTTCCTTTATCTTTTACCTACTGCTTTGAAAGGATTCTGAATGATTTGAAAGCGATATAATTGAAAACAGCAATAAGAACATTGAAATAGAAAGGATTTGCCTTCTGTGCCCCATATTCTGCCATCATACAGGAAGTGGGTATGAAGGGAGCAGTGACACAAAATGTATGAACCAAGAAATCAATGTGCAAACCAAATAGTAATGTCATCATCATACATGAACTATAATACAATTAAAACCAATACAAATCATTAAAAATCCCCAAAATAACATTTTGATTTCGCTTGAGATGGCCTGTGCTTGGACACTTGAAATTATTCTCCTATTTGGAAGGGTTGAGGGTTTTCTGTGTGCATCATTTAATACAGTAGACATGATACATAAACACTGTCGAAACAATAACAAAAATATACATTTTGTGCAACAGCTGTAAGGACTAACAGCAAAACGTTTCATAATAATATGCCACTGATGGTTTTCCTGACTTCAAAATAACATTTGTATTCCAAAACAGATTGCCTTTCACATTAAATAGATATTTGTTTGTTTGTTGTTGTTGATATAATAACGTAATCAGAAGAAACATTATTTATCTCATAGATTACCCCTATAGTTCCCTAACCTCAAATAAAGTTATATTCTATTCTATTCTATTCTATTCTATTCTGTTGTGTTCTAGTGTATTCTATTCCCCAAACAGACACACAGTATTTCCCCCTCTTGTGTCCGCTCCTTTAAGCTTAAACAGATTTGGCAATCCGAAAAAGGATCCAATATGACCTGCATATTTTAGCTGTACAAAAACCATCTCAATTGATTAATCTAAATTAATTTAATTCAAATCAATCAAAACTTTGACAGAGTGGAGGAGGAGTACCAGTCCATCCGGTAGACAGATACTGTGTGTGTTGTTATATGGAGTGTGTATACATACAGTAGTAGCCTTAGAACCCACTGAGTGGGCTGACCATCGGCACAGTCTTCTGTTCACAGCCTGTCCCAGATAGAGGTGTACAAACAGCATCTCTCTCCTCTTCCCATCCCTCTGCTCTCTGCTCCTCCAGTTTTTGTTCTCCCCTTCCTTCCCTCCTTCCTTCCCTCCTTCCTTCCCTCCTTCCTTCCTTCCTTGCCAGTGTCTCCAGATCAGGGGGTGTGTATGGTGGTAACATTGGCCCAGTCAGGGAAGGTGTTGAGATTGAACATGGCTGCTCCCCAGGTGTTCAGGGCGATGTTGATGGTGATGACACCAACAATGTTCAGAATGAATCCAGCCTTCGCCTGTTGTCAGTGCGGTGAAAAACAGGTAGAAACATGGGTCACAGACTGAATGTTTCACAACCATGTATTCTACTAGCCTGGATCCAAAGTGAATTGCTCTGTTTCACTACTGGTTTCAATGACTGAATCAATTAATCACATTTACTGTATTTACAGAATAAAACCCTTTTTATATCAGCAATTGTCACAAAGTGTTTTTTACAATGAAGAGATGACCAGACTGAAACAGTGAAACAGAAAAATTCAGTTTGGATCCAGGATAGTATTTCACTCTCTACACAAATTACTGTATGGAGAGGGTTGAGGGGTGAAGGGTGAATGGTCGTAGGTCGTACCATGTCCATGACTTTGAGGTTGCCATAGGAGAAGGCGATGGCATTAGGAGGTGTGGCCACCGGCAGCATGAAGGCCAGCGAGGCACAGATGGTGCAGGGCAGCATGACGTACAGTGGGTGGAGCTTAATGGCTATGGCCTGGGAACAGACAGACAGGGTCACACATGGGTCAAAGAGGTGAAATTAACATATAGTGTAGGCCTAAGAGCCAGACCTGGGTCAAATACACATGTCATATACTTAGCTGTCCTTGATTTAGTTTTCCCGGTAAAATGGAACCAAAGGAATAGTCCCAAAAGGACAAACTCCAAACTAAATCTAGCACCACTTAAAATCATTGATCCAGGTTTGCTAATTGGACATGTGTGTTACCGTGTGTTGCCTGGGTGTGTGTATGTGAATTTGTAAGGGATTCTGTCTGCTCTTACCATAGAGGCCAGTATAGGCAGGAACAGTGTGGTAGTAGCTACGTTACTGGAGCACTCAGTGAAAGTGGCGGTAAGTAGAGACAGGAGGAAGGAGATGGCAAAGGGAGGGATGGACTGCAGGGGGGCTAGATTTTCTCCTAGCCACTGAGACAGACCAGACGTCTGCACACAGAGAAAAACATATCCACAAATGTAATCATTTGTGTTTAAAAAATGAAAACACAGACCGACCGATTTGGACAGACTGACCGACCTACCGACAGACAGACACACAGACAGACGGTACCTCGCTGCCCCGGGCCAGAGCGAAGCCTCCTCCCAGTAGCAAGAGGATGTTCCAGGGCATCTTCTCTTGGACCACGTCCCAGTTCAGCAGGGTGGGAGGGGCCTTCAGGGGCTTTCCTATAGGGACAAGACACACACAGGAAAATGACACAAGGTTTACCATCACGGTCCTTATAGCCTCGATTCCAGGCACTCCTGCAGGAACTTGGTAGTATGGTAACGCAAGACTACGGTCCCTAAGACCTGTGTATTTACATGGTAGTTAAGAAGATACAGTGTTATTAAAGTGTACAGTATCTCTGTCCAAATCTATATGGGCAGAGATTATACTGTTACGATGTACAGGACTCTGTCCTAGATAGAACTGTACTAACTTATGCCTACTTACATTGCTACTCAGGGAGCAAAGGCCATCGATAACTCCTAGATACTAACATGACCACAAAAACACCCCTTGCCAGGAACGGAAAAACAGAAGTCAAAGAGCCATGACAATGCACTTTAAAGTCTGCCTCGCAAACTCAAAACTCTAACTCTTCACTAAGTGCCTTTAATCATTGTGACACCCATGTATTTGCCAAACACATTGAGCTGCCACCGTTTTGAGGCAGGAGCTACATTACTGGAGCACTCCGTTTTGCCATTTTGACCTTGTCACTTATCAGGAGTAAGAACACTAAACTCAGCTTAGGTTACAGAGGGAGACAAGTGAATATGTATTATATGAATGAATGAATAACTTTTTATTTTCGTGCCAAATCGCCATTTGGCAACCCATCCCTTATGGGGTTAATTGACACAAACAAACATTACAATAATTTACTGTGATAATTCAGTGATAATTATTATTCCGGTGTTCGCATAAAGAGTGAATAAATATTTTTGTAAAATAAAAATAAAATAAAAAATTATAAAAAAGGTTATCCAAACAATAATTATATCCCTTTATAAGTGTCCACGAGTCATTTATTGATTTGAAAGCTATTTGTTTCGGGGAAAGGGCAGAAGAGAAAATATAGCCGTGTAGGGCAGGGCTGACCTTGAGGCTAGCGCTATCACGCTGCAGCCCTCTGATGTGTATCGGAGTATGTATGTGTGTGTGTGTGTGTGTGTGTGTGTGTGTGTGTGTGTGTGTGTGTGTGTGTGTGTGTGCGTGTGCATGAATGTGCGAGCGTGTGCTAGCCCTGGGAAGTGAGGGTGCTATCAGGACGATTACAAAGCACTGAGTCAGAAAGATTTTATCTCTATACCAGGGGTTCTTAAACCTTTTCAGCTTGGGACCCAAATGAGTAATTCCTGGGACCCAAGCTCATGAAAACATTACCGCTTTTGGGGGCCCTAAGTGAGATTTGTTTGAGGGGCCTCCCCACCTCGCGGGCAAAACATTTTAGTGGCCCCCCTCCTGGCAGCGGAGAGAAAATTGTAAGTTTGAAAGTTAATTTCCTGCAATTCTACACATTTTGCCATGACTTATGCCATGTTAATATGATATCTGAGTGAGAGTGACTAACAAAATCAATGGGGGCCCCCTGGAGGTCAGGGCCCCTGTGTACTCTCACCACTCATAGATATATTGACAAAAAACACACACATGCACAAATGTGCACACACACACATACCATCCTCAGAGTACCCGCCACATCTGGGTATTTGGGATGGGATCACAAAGAACAGCGTTGACATCAGGATGGCCACTGTGCCATCAGTGACATACCTGGGACATAAACATTTACATATAAACAATGTCTCTTGGTCTCATTTCTCAATGTGTTCCTATGTATTGATATGGTAGATACATAGGCATGTACAGTGTAATTACAGTTTACGTTCACATTATGTGTACAGCTGAATTGTTAGCTTACATTAGAAAGCGGAAAAGAGCAAAGACTGGGATACACAGCAGAAAGCTATCAGATTTTTAATAAGCGAGGGAAAACCAGGCAGAAGCACAGGGAGTGACAAGTAGAGATAACACATAGGAGTTACAACACAGAACATACTGATCTATCACTCACGGTTTGTCCTTGTTGAAGAGTACAGTGGCCCAGCCAGGCATGAAGCCTGGTTCTCTGGTGAACCAGAGCAGGACCAGCAGGACAAACAGCACCAGGACACAGCCCTCAGCGAAGCACATACTGCCCAGCTTCTTATACTCATTCTTCATCACCTCGTACGCCTCCTTGTCACCATCTTTATTCGTCCCACAGCCAAACGACTTCTTCATGCTGTGGGTGAATGGGCCAAATAGATTCGAGACATATCAGAGATCTCTATACAGTACTATATAGAACTCTGGGTCTTATATAGGCTTTTATCTACTTTGACTATATGTCAATGTATAACATAAATGGACAATGAAGTTTCTATATAAGTGAAATATAACCATAAACCATTACCTTCTATTATTTTACTATGCTTAATCATTATATAGCATTTTTATGTTGGTGAATGTGTCGTCTTTCAACATGGATTGCAGGCACACAATTACATTGCTTCGGCTTCCTGCCAAGAGACGATGTTATGGATGTTATTGACTGGAGATAAAACATAAAAGGAAAGAAGGACTCACTTGCAGCCCAGGTACATAAACTGCAGCCACAGCCAGGAGATGATCAGCATCAGAACCATGTTGGGGAAGGAGAAACCAAACCAGCTGGCAAAGTTGATGATGTCTTCATTTCCTGGGAACATTCTGTGGGGAAAGAATTATAGAATTATAGAATTATAGAATTAGAACTAGCATCAGTTACATAAACATTCCAAAGGGTACTGTGCTGTAGGTACACCCAATATGGCCGCCGGGCCGGTGCACCCACCACAAAATGCTGCTTTGAACGGGAAAGTGCACGGAATTCTAATTCTATGGAGGAAGTGACAGAGATGTTAGCTAACTCCCAAGCCAGGGATGTGCTTTAGCTGCTGTAAGCAAAGTAGACTGGGCACTACAGTTCTCCCAGAGAAGAACAGTTGCTAAACCGGTTTGCAATACTGTATCCACACACAATAAACCGTTTAATGAGAGCTACTCAGATGGGTATCTTACTGTATTTACTTGTAATACTACCCAAGCATAGTAAGACTTTATAAACAGTAAACGTACTCGTCGACCTGTCCCTTAAGGATAAGGTTCGGGGTGGTGCCGGTGAGGGTGGCTGTTCCTCCAATGCTGGCAGCGTAACACACACTGAGACTCATGCCTTTATCCAGGTTCAGGTACTTAGCCTCCCTCTTCAGCCTCCTCTCCCTCGCCTCCGGGCTCTCCTCCACCTCTAGCTCTGTGGGGAGAGAACCATGGGTCAGCCAATCAGAATGTTCAGGGGTTAGAGGTCAGTCTGTCAGAAGTTTTCCTAAGGGTAACTAAGGGTTTAGGGCAAAGATTTCCCACCTGTTGTTTTCAGGGAGTCTGCAAGAAACAGGGATTGAGAGTATCTGGTGGTGATATTGAACATGATGTTCAATGCGTCCGTGTAATTTGTATTCTATCTTAGCCAGACGAGACGATAAGTCCAAACAATCTTGTCTTGAACGGACAAAATCAATAAGGTCACATCCTAAATTAGCTTATCAATAACTTATCAATATATCTTACTTATCAATGTGTTCCTCTACTAAGATAAATGGTTGACTAATTTACTGAAGGGTGTTTCATGGAATCCACAACAGGTGTGAATGAGGTATGTTAGTCCTGGGCTGGAACAAAAGCATTTACACCCTGTGGGTTTCAAGGACCATGATTGAGGAACACTTATGTTGAGAGAACACATACTGTATTCTACTTACCTAACTTGACCCCATTCTCCCTGGGTTTGACATCCTTTGTATATTTAGTAGCACCTCCATCATCTGCCAAATAAGGGAGATATGATTTATTACAAAAACAGAAAGATGTGGAATAGCTTGTGATTGTGAAAGCTCATAGCGAACTAATGGACACATAGTCTCGTGGTACCAGGCTGTATTCTCATTTGAGAATGGCTTGAGAAACCTAGAATGGATGGTGTTGAGGCTAATGAACACAAAACAAATGCTGACACACACATACACACCCCACCCCCCAACCCCCGCCCCACACACACACCACTTCCTCCTAACAACACACACCTATGGTAATACTGTTTTCCTTGTCATCCATCTCAAAGGCCTGGTTTTCCTGGCCCTTAGATACCTCAGTCCCAGGCCCGGCCCCACCCCTGATGGCCATCAGGTCCATCTCCCTCTCCTCTGCCTGGGCCTCTGTGTCACACAGCTGCTTCAGCACGGCGTTAGCAATGGGCAGCATCATGGCAGTGGAGGCTGTGTTACTGATCCACATGGACAGGAAGGCTGTGGTGCCCATGAAGCCCATCATCAGACTGGAGTAACAGGGAGGGAGGGGAGAGAGGAGAGAGAGAGAGAGAGAGATAGAGAGAGAGAGAGAGAGAGAGAGCGATAGAAGAATAGCGAGATATAGGAGAGATAGAGGAGAGCGAAGGAGATAGATAGCGAGCTAAGATAGCTATAGCTCTAGCGATATGGGTAGTCTTGTAGATATATAACGAACTCGACTCTATTGTTGAAGCCACTGTTATGAATATATAGAGTGGGGAAACAAACCATTTAAAAGGAACAGATAAGACATTAATATGAATACAGCATTGGCTATCAGAACACCTCAGCCAAACAGCTCTGTAATATGAGAATTAACCCCGGTTAAAGGGGGTCTCTTACAGGTGCAGGGCCTCGACCCCCTAGACTATGAGCAGGTAACTCTGAGGGCGATGCGTTTTGTTAAGGTTCCCAGTATTCCACCGCTATAGCACACCACAGCCCTCCGACGAACAACATGTAGAGTCCTTCATGTACTGGACACACACCTGGATGAGAGACAGACAGGGGGTTCTGAATGAGTGTACTGGCCTGAGACAGGTTCTGCTTATAAATACGATAATATACTAATAATGGGATCAACAGTAAGGACTTTATCAACAGTACTTAGGTGCTCTATTCATACGTCCTCAACACTGTATCTACTAAACAAAGATTTACATTTAACATTTTAGTCATAACAACTGTTGACCTGTTTATTCTGATCATAAAACAGAATCTTGTTGTCTCAATTACTGAGTCTAATGGGTGGGTAAGATCCAGTCATTAGGTATGGAGGTGGTTGAGCAGAGAGGGGAGAGGGTAGTGGTGTTGGTACCTCGCTTGACTCCATGATGCCCATCATAGGGAAGAGGATGACAGGCAGCAGACCGGTCACAGCCAGAGGCACACACTCTGTACACCAGTACAGGGCCATCAGGATGATCACATAGCCACAACTAGCCTCCTGTACACACACACACACACACACACACACACACATACACAGAGAGAGACAGACAGGGACAGTGAGAGTGCTGTTGAGGTAGGTAGCACACAACAACTGTTGAGGTAAGACAACACGTACAAATGCACACAACACACAGTCATTCCTCTCTCAGGACCATTTTGTTCTCATTGAACAATCATCTGAGACAACAGGCAACAGCTTTAAAGAACAGACAAGTAGTATAACTATTTTAGAACATAAAGAAGTCTTATTGTGTGCAATTCAATACATCTATTCAATAAGTCAGTTGCAGTTACAGTTCTTGCAATGCATAGTTAATAACAATCAATTAAAACAAATATCATGCCTAACCCAAATTCATATTACTGTAATTTCTAAAGGTGCTCCAGTTCTCTTCAGTTCTCCATGGCCATAGTGTCTCCCTTGTAACTTAATATTATCATTTTGTTGTAGCCCTAATCTTTAACCAGGATGGAGAGGTCAAGGGAGGTTGTGTCTGCAGGATATAAACTGCAGCTGTGCCAGCAATGAGTTGGCATAATTATGTCATTTAGTTACGATGCCCTTCAATGAACCAATTAAAGTTAGAATCCTTAGTTGCTACATCCATTTTTTGACTTAATTAATTATATATACCCGTTAATTCTTGAAGAATATAACTTCTAATTGTCTCATGAGCTTAGTTCAACTGTCAGAACCCAAAATATAAGCTTGTTTTACTCCAGTGTTTGCAAACAATGTCAATGTAACAAACACTGTATAGCCTCAAAACATGGTTAAACCTTTACTTTTTATATAATGGATGGTCAGTCCTTGCATCCCTAGCTCTGTCTATGAATTTGAGAGAGGTTATATTTCTCCAGCCCCATCCCTCAGCTTTTAACCAAAAGTTTTAATCGGTGACGGGGTGTAGTTGTTTGAACTGCAGATTGCCCCTTTAATATCTATTTTGATAAATGAAGTTAATCAAATAAATTCTTAGAGGGAAAAACCAGGCTTGGATTTTATAGAAACAAATATATTTGATGATACATTCAAGATAAAAGATGAAGAAGGGACAATAAACTGCCTGTCTTTCGTTCCTGATGGTTTATTGCCCTGGAGGGCCACCGTAACTCACAGGGAACTCTGAACTGGCAATGTGCATGTTTGCTGAAGTTCCTATCTACAAAAATTACCACACACAAAAAATCCTGGATATTGTGAAATAATTAAATATGTCACAAATACAATAGAAATGTCACATTGGGAAGTATACACAGACGTGTAACCAAAGCATGCAGTGAAGCTTCAATAAACATACAGAGTTTTCTAGGAATTTCGGCATTCAATTTGTGTACAACCAGGACTTGAAATGCTTCAGAACTTTATTCTCAACTAAGAATAACTTCAGAACTTTCAAGAGGTTTAAAACAAACAAATCACAGCCTCTGCACAGTTAGACACAAACAAACAAAGAAACAAACACTCTTACCGGTCCCCCAACTATTAGTGGTAAAGGTAGAATCAACAGAGGGGTGAGGAATATGATCAGGTAATTCCGATACCTCCATAGCCCACTCAGACACACCACCATGGTTGGTCCAGATGTCCAGAGGATAGCTCAGGTACAGAGAGAAGAGTGATGGATATATTAGATAGAAAATCTAATTGTAGTGTGGGGGAGAAGATGTTACAAGATAATTGGGGACACTACCACACTGTTTAAAGAGAGAACAGGAGATAAAGTTGCAGTATATATATCACACAGAGAGAATTAAATATTAACTTTGGAGTGAGGTGACTGGGCTGAGGAGGGAATGTGTTGTACAACACAATAAAATAATGTAAGTGAGTGAGTGAGTGAGAGAGAGAGAGAGAGAGAGAGAGAGAGAGAGAGAGAGATAGATATATATATTATATATATATATAGAGAGAGAGAGAGAGAGAGAGAGAGAGAGAGAGAGAGAGGAGAGAGAGAGCATGAACGCGAGTCTCTCTCTCCGCTCTAGGGAGTTAATTCTGAGGGGGATGTTCCTTCGGGAGTATTTGTATGAGCCTTCGGATAATGGGAGGGCGAGAGAGAGAGGGGAAAGGGAGATGAAGGGAAGGATTTTTAAGCCTTGAGACAATTGAGATTTGGATTGTGTATGTGTGCCATTCAGAGGGTGAATGGGCAAAACAAATTATTTCAGTGCCTTTGAACAGGGTATGATAGTAGGTACCAGGAGCACCGGTTTTTAACGCTTAACACTTTGTATCCCCCTTTCCTTCATTTTCCTTTCCCGTGTATCAAGAATGATCCACCACCCAAAGCAAATCCAGCCAGCTTGACACAACTGTGGGAAGCATTGGAGTCAACATGGGCCAGCATCCCTGTGGAATGCTTTCAACACCTTGTAGTCCATGCCCTGACAAATTGAGGCTGTTCTGAGGGCAAAAGGGTGTGCAACTCAATATTAGGACGGTGTTCCTAATGTTTTGTACATTCAGTGCATCTCCCACCCCATCCCACCCTCAGCCCTTTAGGCACTGCTGGCTTTTCGAGTGTTACCTATTTCTCTGTTGATCCATTGGGCACCCGGTCACGTGGTCATCACATTCACCTGAGAATGCCTCACCCATCCCACCTCTCCCTTGTTTGGGTTGTGCTGAAGTCTATTGAAGAGAAAGACAATGAAGAGCCTTGTCAGTCAAATACCTGCATAAGGGCCTGGGTGGTGTTCAGTAACCATAATCTGAAGAAAACGGGGAGGTACAATCTGAATGTTTCTAATACGAGACGCTCATATTCCTTTTCCATTGCACAAATGTCGCTACAGTATGCCCTAATGAACACGACCCATGAACTCCATCTTAATGTAAGAGCACACCTCCCCCCTCCCTCCCACAAAACTTTTTTTTTCTGACAGAGCGAATTACAGATTTTGGAATACGATCAACTTTTTCTGATAGAGTGAATTGTTTCAAAACATCCGAACCTCTTTGAAGAGATTACAAATGATTGATCCCAGAGCAAAACAAAATGTAACCCCTGAAATGGCTTTGTATTAACCTTGCATTACTTAAACATTAAGCAAGCCAACTATAACTGTAAGCTAGTCAATGTAATATGTATGAATCACCAACAGCAACAGGCACAGTTCCCTGCATCATTCCCTTATCTGACTGGTGTCTACACATTCATCAGAGAGATAGCGAAGAGATAGTGTGTGTGTGTGTGTGTGTGTGTGTGTGTGTGTGTGTGTGTGTGTGTGTGTGTGTGTGTGTGTGTGTATGTGTGTGTGTGTGTGTGTGTGAGTGTGTGTGTGTGTGTGTGTGTGCGCGCGTGTGTGTGAATACGGAGGCTCTCCGCACTGCTAAAGCTAACTCTCTCTCCTCTGCTCTTGTCCTTCTAGACCTGTCTGCTGCCTTTGATACTGTGAACCATCAGATCCTCCTCTCCACCCTCTCCGAGCTGGGCATCTCCGGCGCGGCTCACTCTTGGATTGCGTCCTACCTGATCGGTCGCTCCTACCAAGTGGCGTGGCGAGAAGCTGTCTCCGCACCATGTGCTCTCACCACTGGTGTCCCCCAGGGCTCAGTTCTAGGCCCTCTCCTATTCTCGCTATACACCAAGTCACTTGGCTCTGTCATATCCTCACATAGCCTCTCCTATCATTGCTACGCAGACGACACACAACTAATCTTCTCCTTTCCCCCTTCTGATAACCAGGTGGCGAATCGCATCTCTGCATGTCTGGCAGACATATCAGTATGGATGACGGATCACCACCTCAAGCTGAACCTTGGCAAGACGGAGCTGCTCTTCCTCCCGGGGAAGGACTGCCCGTTCCATGATCTCGCCATCACGGTTGACAACTCCGTTGTGTCCTCCTCCCAGAGTGCGAAGAGCCTTGGCGTGACCCTGGACAACACCCTGTCGTTCTCCGCTAACATCAAGGCGGTGACCCGATCCTGTAGGTTCATGCTCTACAACATTCGGAGAGTACGACCCTGCCTTACACAGGTCCTAATCCAGGCACTTGTCATCTCCCGTCTGGATTACTGCAACTCGCTGTTGGCTGGGCTCCCTGCCTGTGCCATTAAACCCCTACAACTCATCCAGAATGCCGCAGCCCGTCTGGTGTTCAACCTTCCCAAGTTCTCTCACGTCACCCCGCTCCTCCGCACACTCCACTGGCTTCCAGTTGAAGCTCGCATCTGCTACAAGACCATGGTGCTTGCCTACGGAGCTGTGAGGGGAACGGCACCTCCGTACCTTCAGGCTCTGATCAGTCCCTACACCCAAACGAGGGCATTGCGTTCATCCACCTCTGGCCTGCTGGCTCCCCTACCTCTGCGGAAGCACAGTTCCCGCTCAGCCCAGTCAAAACTGTTCGCTGCTCTGGCACCCCAATGGTGGAACAAGCTCCCTCACGACGCCAGGACAGCGGAGTCACTCACCACCTTCCGGAGATATTTGAAACCCCACCTCTTTAAGGAATACCTGGGATAGGATAAAGTAATCCTTCTACCCCCACCCTTACCCCACCCCACCCCCAAAAAAAAAAAAAAAAAAAACATTGTAAAGTGGTTATCCCACTGGCTATAAGGTGAATGCACCAATTTGTAAGTCGCTCTGGATAAGAGCGTCTGCTAAATGACGTAAATGTAATGTAAATGTACTTTAAAATACAATGTGTAGACAGATATGAGATAAGACAATAATTCTCATCTCTTGGCAGCTCAGTTCAAGGACTGAATGTGGGTGGGTGTGTTCCATTTAAATCAATGAAAATGATCTTCAGGTAAATATATTCTCTGAGTTAAACTGAGACTGAACTGTTTATTCATCTAATTACATCTTATCCTCTTATTTTATTGTATCCATCTTGGACAGGAGGAAAACTGCACGTACAAAATAATACATGTTGGACATAAATCTGATTAGTGACAGACTATTATCCATAACCATAACCAAGGGAACAAAAAAAACGATGTGTTTCTTGGCTCTTTTCTGCTGAAGCCAGTTTATTGTCCCATAACAACAGTTGTCTGCTGTACAGTAGAATAATAGTTGTTGGAACAACCCTAGGCCACTATGTTTTCAGAGTGAATACATCACATTAGACTAAGAAATGTAAGCTTCTAAGCATGTTTGGTGCTTTAACCACTGTCATTACATGGCTTTAACCACTGTCATTACATGGTGTCATTACGTCATCTCTGGGCAAAGTGCACACACCACTGTTTAGAAACATTAAGGAATATTCATCCATGCCACCCATAACTCAATAACTCAGATTCCCAGATAGTAAGTGTGTGTGTGTGTGGCTATGTGTGTGTTTTTGTGTGTGTGTTTGTGTGTGACTGCCTGCGTGTGCCTGCCTGCCTGCATGTGTGTGTACCACAATATGTAAACCGAGGAAAAGTCAGAGTTTTCATGTCAACTCTCCCATGTTAAGACTATGCTACATAAATGGTACATTACGGTACCTTACATACATACTTCATTGCCCAAGACAGCCTTGAATTGAGTTGAAATGACCCTTCAGCACTGAAAAGTCTTTATATGACCTCTTTAATAATGCACTTAAATTGCTGCAGCTGGAAGTCAAAGTTCCCTTTCTCCCAACAAGCCTTTTGTTCTCAGTAATAGTGGAATTTGAACTGCAATGATGGAAAGTACTTTTTCATCTATAAGATTGATTGCTTAATTTGGGGCTATTTCGGCCATTCTGTTAGTAAACTAGCTTCAAATGATGTTCTGGAATTCTGTGCCTTTACTGCACAGATACTGTATGATAGACATTATTTGGAAATGTTATGGAACGCACCTTTAATACAACAGCATATCTGAGGATATTTCTGAGAGGGATTGGTGAAACGTGTGAGGGCACATGCAGGATGAAAATTCCCTTATACTCAAATAAATACATTTAAACTTTGGCAAAAGGAGAGCGGAATTGGACTTGTATCAAATACCTGTATCAACTGGTAGCACATTAAAGCTAAAGCAATACTGTGTCAGCATCCAGAAGGCTATTGAAAATGATAAATCATCCCCCAATAAAGTTTTTTTTCAGTGAATTACTTAAAAAAGGTCAATTTGCCATTGATACATCCATTTTTGGACATTTAAATGTATTACATATACACTGAGTATACAAAACATTAGGGTGTGAC